CTGAATATTAACACAACCTGACGGCGTGCATTCAATTAAGTCGCTGTTTAGAAACTAAATACATGATTTTTTTTTTTTAATGGTTTGAACGCCAGGGCAACAAAGAGCAACAGCAAATGAAGTGATTTAGTGTCATGAACATTATTGTCAGTCTCTTCCAGGGTCTCCTCTGGGTATAAATGGAGGGCTGTCTCCGCTCAGCACTCCTCTTTTCTCTAGTTTGCACTTAAGGAGCCCCCTTTCTCTCCTCCCGTGCTTCCTTCCTCTCACTAACTGTCCCCATCTTCCCATCCCCCTCCTCCACTGACTCCCAGTCTTGTTGCATAGCTACCAGCTCAAAAACATACTGGGGATGCAGGACAATCTGTATGTCTCTTTCTCTCTCCTATTCTTCCACCCCAAATATGACCTATTAGAAAGGGGGGAAAACACGCACACATACACACAAATCACTGAGTTGATGCCCTGCGTTCACATTTCCATTGAACAGCGTTTATTCTAAGTGCTGTGCTCTTCTCCTCCCTCTCTCTCTCTCTCTCTGTGCCCCCCACCCACCCTTCTCCTGTCTCCCTCTTTTGAGAGGAGCTGAAAGGTTGGCATTACAACAACAAAGGAAGGATGGAATGTCAACAGGCTTCAGAGAGAAATGGGTTGGGGGGGGGAAGCACAGAGATGGGAAATGCATGTTGTGTTTCCATCTCCGACATCTAAAGTTCGCAACCTACCAGCACGCCACTCGCCGGTGTCCTGCAACACCTGTGACACATGCATGTCCTGAAACCTTCTTCAGCTCGGAAGCCCGTGTCACTAATGGTGCCAAATCAATACCTCATGTTCAACAATTGCACAGTGAAGGGGAAGATTTTTTTAAGCATCTAAAGGCCACCCCTGTTTCTTTTTCTTCTGTTACAGGCGGAAGCAGGGGATGTGGATGTGACCAAAAAAAAAAGAGTCGAAGGTGCTGGTGGTGCTGAGTGGAAGACTAGTGATTTTGTTGTGACGCTGATCAAAGAACAACAAGTCCCAGTCTGCCTCTCAGCACAAGCAGTGAACTTCAGTTTCACGTCAATGTGAACCTGCTCTTCAGCTCAGGAGCCGTTCACGTTTCATTGTTGGCACTGTTGATGAAATTTCCTGTTTATTCAGCAGGCAACAATATGAAGCCTGCCCTTTAAACATCACGTAAAATGTTCTGATTCACGCTCCGTGTGAAGGAGTTTCGCTGCACAGTAATGTTAATTACCAGCAGAATTGCAATCAAAAGCATCATTTAAGCGAGTGAATCACACACTATAAAAGCCACGTAGGGAAATTCTGTAATAACAATGCTATAAAACCCTTTGTACAAGAAACAAAAAAAATACTAAAATTGCCCAGTATTATTTTTCTACGTCTATTTTCGGGCTTGCTCATTCTCATTGTGCTTTGTTCAAACTGTTTATTGATCATTAATCTGTACACATGGGAATAAATGACATTTCTTTTATTTACACTGCAAAATAAAACCTGTTTTTTAAAAAAAAGATCCTTGTATTTCTGGATTTTGTCACATCAGCACCACTGAACAGGTTGGCTCTCACTCTTTCTCTCACACACACACTAAGATCAGAGGACATCCCTGAGGAATCACTGTGTCCAATTAACTACAGTGTCTTCAGCTGAGACAGAGGAATGAATATAAGCCAATCAATCAACAAGGAGAGTCTAAATCCTTCTGTGGACAGGCTGTTACTTCCTGTAGTTTTTTTTTTTAGTATGTATCAAAGTTGTGAGTGACCCACTGAATAAAATACGAGCTCCTACTTGGTGACCAGACAGTGAATCCACCAGAAGAGGTCGTTACAGTCGTGTAGCCATGTGTGTGCTTTCTAATGCACTCCAGAGGGTAAAAGAGCCACAAAACCAGTTCTAATAGTTATCACACATCAAATATTATAACAAGTGTTGGTAGGCTGACTTGTGAACGTACTCGCAGTTCTTTGGGCCCAGTAGGTCCAAAATAATTATAGAATAAGATTTTTCTTTTTCTTTTCTTTTTTTTGGCCGCCAGTATTTGGTCTGTATATGAGGTGGACTCTGATCTGGTCCTTTTCTGAGCTTGGATTAATATCAGCAAACAGACCTGAGCAAATGTAAGATATCTACAGTCACTAAGAAAACTGAGAGGCGTGTTCACACAGCACAGAAGACACCAGACCTGCTCTGTGCTCCACTGCACTTTGGTGTTTTTGTCATATTCATACACATGGGAGAATTGAACTAAAGCAGAGGGGAGAGAATAAGAGACAGAGACATAATGAAGTCACACTAATCACAATAACCAGCACACATTATGTAAAATTCTAACATGAGAAGCTGCATACAGTTACTGAATAAAAGCAGAGAGGGGCAAGAGCAGACAAATCTATACTAAATAAATTGTAAAAACAATTAAGACAAGACAGATATGAAAATGTAGAGACAGACTTATCTTTTTTTGTTGTTGTTGTTCTCTTTACCTGCACGGTTGACCTGAATAATCCCCATCTTTGCCATTCGTTGCTAACAAAGTGCTTATGACAGAAAGGTCAAGCCTACCCAAAATGAATTAAAACTCACTTTATTTGAATCAGATCAGTACAAAGTAAGGACTGCTTAAAATCCAAAGCTGACATGTAACCGTCATGCAGATTACATTCATCTTTGTCTCTGAAACTGAAATTAGTAACCATGTCACCATGCTTTGATAATCTTGACCACAGACAATGCCTTCCACCCTTTTCACTCATAAATGCTTGCAATGGTTTAATTAAAAATGCACCATGGCTGGTCTCCATCACTCTGCACCCTGTAGTCTCCAGATTGGCTGAATCCTGCTTTTTCATATATAAAATCAGGGTCTGGCTTGTGTTGCTAAGCAACACAAAAGAGTCAAGTGCATTTGTTTATTGGCCAATAAGAATGCAGACAAAGTTTCAAGGTTTTTGAGGAAGGTACTGCAATAATGATAAAAGGAAGAAAAAAATAGATCGGAGGATTCTCTCACAACAGCCTTTCATATAATTCACTGAGTGTATGGATAGTCCTATTCAAGCTCATGTAGCTCATTTCAGCCTCTTAATTTTAGGCCCATGATGAAAAAGAAAAATATTTATTAATTTAATGGAAGAGTCAGCTTTCAGCAGCAAATGTGGCTATTTTGAATGCTTTTTAGCTGTATTTCTGGTGTGATCGCTGTTGTAGGTTACATGAGACAGAGAAATCGAAAAGTCTGATTCCTACTGATTAAAAAATAACAACATTTAGGGGTCTTTCTCGCTGATTGAGCCCATGAACCCCTCAAAAACATCTGACACCTACAGCACAGACAGAAACTGGCACAGCAGTGATACCACGTCACTTCATGCTTTCTCATTCTCCTGAGTTAAGACTGAAAGCACTTAGTGCACACTGTAGCAGAGAAAAGTCACAATCTAAGATACTTGAGAGTAATCATTATGTCTAAACAGTAAAAACTGTTGCCAACAACTAAGGCAGATGGTTTCACGAGGAAAGAAAATGGTCAAAAATAGTGATGGATGTGTAAAAGGAAGTGCACAACAGGTGACAAATTGCATCAGACACATTCTCAAGAGCACAGACCTTGTGCAATGCATGTACTCCCTCCTCGTTGTTATTACTATCTGGGCACCAAGCCTGGCGTGATGGTATGCCAACTGTTCCCCGATGTCTGTGCTGGCACCCATCACCACAGAACTGGCACCTCGGAGAGACTCTGGGGGAGGAAGAGTGAGTCCGCATGTGGCTACATGTGTGGTCAAGAAGATCAGGGCCTGACGACTGATCAGCAGACAGAGAACAATTGTGTCTGGCAATTAAATATGTGCAAATATTTGTGCAGGGTCTTCTCTAATGCTCTTGTTGTTGGTGGTGATGATGAAAAATTTACAAGCATGATATACATTTAAGTAACAAAACACAAGCAGCAAAAGATGATTAACTGATAAGTTGTAAGTAATCTTCTAGTCATGTAGTCTTAACAATGTTTGCATTTAAAACATGCAGAGGGGACTGTGTGTGAATGTCTGCTGACAGTTATTCCCAGTATATTCACAGAAAATCAGAGGAAGCTTTAAAAGTCCAATTTATGGGGAAAAAACTAACATTTTTAAGATAAACACTAGGGATTATAATAACATTTAGCTGTAAGATGAATGAATATTTACATTTTATTCATCCTAAATGATCAGCTGTGTAGGTCAATAACTGTTCCCTGATTTCCTGCCCTTTAAATAGAAGCTAATTAGGAATTTGGCTCAGGAGAACTAAACTTTATCCACAGCAGTGTTTACATTTTGTTTTTAGCCATGGTAACCACGGGACTCAATGGATAAAGTAAATGGTAAATGGACTGATTCTTATATAGCGCTTTTCTACTCTCTCAGAGTACTCAAAGCGCTCTATACAACATGCCACATTCACACCCATTCTCACAAGCACTTTATCTATACTTAGTGCTTTCTAACTACATTCACACACATTCATACTCCGATGGACGCAACCACTCCGATGGTTAGTATCTTGCCCAAGGATACTTGACATGCAGACTGGAGGAGCCAAGGATCGAACCACCAACCTTCCGATCAGTAGGTGACCTGCTCTACCTCCTGAGCTACAGCCACCCCACAGCTCATTCACCAGTGTGTAGTAGCTACTGAGTCTGTTCTTCCAATAAACACGATGAGAGTGAACTGTGGGTTAAAGAGAGGCTTCTCCTTATGAATAAAGCTAAAATCTGGCTACCTGTAAAGTCAACCGCTCCATCAACAAGCTCCGGTGTCTCGGGTTATTTAACCAGAGTTTTCATCTTTAAAATCTCAAGTCTGACTTGTTTTATGAGTGACTAGTGAGTGTTTTCTGTTTGGCTAAACTCATGCATCATGCTCCCTGGACATAAATATTAACAGCGCTCAAGATAAACGTGTTAATAGGAAACATCTGGAAAAGAAAATACAACCAGCTTTGTTGTACGTTCATAAAAATGTATTTTATTTACAGAACAAAACATATTTAGGGTCACAATGAACAGTATTTCATTCATTTTGGCAACTAATGAAGACTTTCAGTCCAAAATACTAAATATTGTTGGTCGCCAATTTGAACTACATAAATAGTGCGTAGCACAAACACCGTCTCAAACAACTTGACATCAACATCAGTGTTTCTGATATATTTTAATGTAGAAAAACTGACAGTTTGAATGATCAAACGGAACAGAAATATCATACATGGATTTTTCACTTATTCTGTTTTTATATTCACGCGAGACACCAGTCTCATTAATGCTTATACAAGTCAACAGAAATCTGAGTTCACTGCGATGGGAAATCAGCACACATGGTTTTCTATATTCAACAAACTGAGGCCTACCAAGTGACACACATGAAGCACAGCAGACACAGTTTTCTTTGTTGTTTTTTTGTTTGTTTCCTTACCAGCAGCAGAGCCAGATATTCCAGATTCAAATAAATAACACAAGCATAGAAAAGATAAAAGAAAAACATTAGTTTGATGTGTTGTATGAACTTTTGTTGAGTTTGGGAGTCGCACCAAACAGCAACGCCTGCGATTTACTCCATTTCACCTGCTGGGCTACACAGCTGATCTCAGATCTGCTTTATTTACACTGAAGAGGACTTTAAGTGCCATATTTTAAGTTCAACTTAAAATTCAGAATCAAAACCAAGATGTGTTGTTATCATAGAATGACGCAGGCCCATATGGGACAAGATGAGAAAATAAAAATGGCCTTTTCGGCATGTTGCCTCCCACTGGAGGAAAGCTGAAACCTTTAACACTTTAACAGGTAACGACTTGTTGGGGTAAAACTTGAGCCAACAGCTGAAGATGAAACCAGACAGTCAGTACTAGGTGGTCTTCACCAGGTCGTAGACGTGGATGTGAACATCGTCGTCATACTTTATGTAGTAGACGGTGGGCTTCGCCGGGACCTGGTAGATGACCAAACCCGTCCTCTTCAGACCGTTATCTGTGACGTACTCTACCTGCTTCCCGACGAGGCTCTCTGGCTCCTCACCTGGCTTCCTGTCCGCTGGCAGCAGGTGTTTGTTCTCTGGATGGCAAACAGAAAAACCACATGATGCCGTGCTGGACAGCATTTACTCAGCCACATACGTGTATTTGCAACAGGCTTCCAAGCCTGTTACCTGTCGTTTGAACATGACCTTTAACCCACCACCTGTGCTTGCCACAGTTCATTCATGAATAAATTCCTCTAAAGCAGCAGATCATACTCTCCTAACTAAGCAGAAATTCTGAACAAAATGTTCAGGAGGAGAAGAACGAGCCAGAGATGCTGGAGTGTTTTGCAATGCAGACTATGTAAATTTGTCCTGTTCTCTTCCTCCCACTTTTCCAGGAGGATCGGAAATATAAAACACTGACAGTTTTATGCACACTGACAGCGAAGCTCACATTACCATACCTGACTCCGGCAGGACGTGCAGGTCCCCGTCCTTATAGTCGTCCCACAGCTGGTACATGTAGAGCACCGGGTCCTTCTCATAGGTGATGTAATACCAGTGGGTCATGATTGGGGCCCGGGACAACACCATGCCTCGCCACTCATTTTTCTCCCCGTCCTCCTTCTCGAACAGATGCTCCACTGCTCGACCCACCAGCTCCTCCGCCCCAGGAGGCACCTTGATCTTATTGTTCACTGTGGAAATGAGAAGACACTTCAATGAGTCCATCAATCCAAAAAATGTACAGACCCAAGACAACAGGATAAATGAAAACACTAAAATCTATTTTATATGACATTATAATTCCCCCAATGCTTTATTCTGATGCTGCCAGCTTTACATTTTAAATTAGAAAATAAAAGACTATTTCTTAGTAAAGGACGACAAAGATTGTCATCATGTTCAGCCGGGGTGTCAAAAATAAGGCCCTGGGGCCACAACTGGCCCAGCAAAGATGCCAATCTGGTTCACTGGACATATTTTTATACGTTTCATTGATAAAGACCTCCCCGGTGGGCATTCATAATACACCAAAGTAATTTATTAATGGATAAACAATTAAAAGACAGAAAAAAATGTTCACACTAACAATTGGTGAAATTTCTGTTTTCTCTATGGTCAGATTTCTGTGAATTAACAGAAGGTTTCTGTTTTATATTTATAGGACAGTCTGGCTAATGAGCAACCAGAACTTTTACACAATTATTTCTTACAATTTAAGCCCAGAGTCATGCTCACAGACTTCTTTCAGCAGCTACAGCAGCATTTCTTATTTCATGTATAAAAACTGAGATGTACAGCAGAAAATTTACCTTTTTTCTTTTTTTGTGTTAAAATATCTCAGGGGTTAAATGTGCAGTTATAACATATTAACATCTCACCATGTAAAATAAAATATCCTGATATAAACCAATAAGCCACTGAAATTTAAATCATTTTATATGCTGGTAAATTATTATGCTGTTTAATACGGTCCTCAAGTAAAAAGAGAGAGGTGTGTTTTGTGTAACCAGCAGTAGTTATGTTGCTATTAAATACACAAAGTTTGTCACCACACCTAAGGGTGTGCTATGAATAGAGATTAGCGAGCCATGTAGAGCCTAAAGCCAGAGTTTTCAACATTACAAAGGTGGCTCTTTTTTTTCTTTTTTACCTGACTAGATCACCAGGGTAAATAACGGCTCCTACGCAGAGCCTATGCACAGCTTTACAGACGGTCATCTACATGCTGTGGCTATGTAATGTCACCAGAGGGCAGTGCCACAAAAAACCCACGAGTGGGCTACTCTTGCTCGTGTTCAGGCAGCAAAGAAAAGCACTAAATTATAACACACACAGAGCCAGCCGAGTGGTTTTTTTTTCAACCAATAAGCCTTCTACAGCTTCATAGCTATGCCCTGCTGTTTTTTTGGAAGGCTGCACACAAACAAGCCTGCATTTAGCAAGGCAAATATCGGTGCAAACAGACAAAAACGTGGCACCATAAAATGTTGAAAGCATACTCTAGGCAGGAGTGGATCATGTAGTTTTCTCCTGTCATAGCAGCACATGTTCTCAGCAACCTGTTACGTTAGAGGTGCACTGAATGATGTATCATGTTTAATAAAATTAATCAAGTTTAATGGCTCAAATGTGCATCAGCCACATCAAAAACAAAGAGCCTCAGTAAGTGTACGACTGGCAAAATAAATACATGGATTTTAACCATTAAAGATTTTCTTCCAGTATTCCTCTCTACTGTTTCCTGCTATTTATTTTTAAGCATTCGATGATGCCTATTTCTCTGACTGAAGCAGAAGTGGAGTCAAATGATGCGTCAATCCACACCCTTAGTGAGAATGTGCAATAAACCTCAGAGGGGAAACACAGTTCGTGTCTACCAGCGTGATGCGCATTATCTTCGACTGGGATTTTCGGTTTAATCGAGGCGGCTAATGCACAGCTATGGCAAATTTGCTTCACAGTGTATCCCCACAGACCTAAATGAGATAAACACCAACATGAGATTCAGCAGGGAATCCTACAAAAAAGTGACATGCAGCGTGATGCATTGCAGACATGACAAAGTCCATTTAAATTTCAATAATTGAGTATAAAACATTTAAATTCAAGCAAAATATCAGTGATTAGAGCTTCATCCTGACACTCACCAACTTTCTCTGCCAGGACCTGCAGGTTGGATACCCGGCTGTCTTTGAAGAGCTCGATTCCGTAGACGCAATCGAAGCCGTCATATTTGACCATGTAGAGGGAGGTGTTTACAGACAGGCGCTCCAAAACTGTGCCCTTCCATTTGGTTACGTTGCCCTTCTCCCTCCAGGTGTGCTGAATCCTGCGGCCCAGTAGGTTGTCAGGGTCCGGACTCAGGGTCGACGCCGAGCTCTCACTCAGCTCTCCACTGCTGCGCTTCCTGTAAACAGGAATGGAGCAAGCGCCACGTTAGCATTCATACGTTAGTGCGGGTATGATGAACTTAAGCTGTTCCATCAGTATATTGTTTGCGTTACCTCTTATGACAGAGAGTTCAGTCAACCCAAACAATGAGAACTATCAAAATGTTACATAAACAAATGAGTGTGAAACTATTTTAAATTTAATATTCAAAAGCCATCACTTCAAAGTCGAGCTTCAAAGTAAAATCTGCCATGGGCTGTCGTCTTTTACACTACTGAATCTTTAAAGCCTTTAACTTCACAGATATTGTGTGAAAATAATGTAGAGGGTTGGCTGTTGTATCTATACCATAAACAGACAGCAAAAACATTAAAAAAATAATTAAGTGGCCCATACGCTTTCTTATCAAGATTACAATATGCCAGGTTAATAATTAAAAGCTCCTGCTATGCTGATAAACAAGCTCAAATAACAATATTTATAATTATCATCTAAACACTCAGAGCATAATATCTGGATGGACTGGTTACAGACAACTGGTCACCACTGGCCATCTTTTCCAGGTCAGTAAACGTTTAAGCTTATATTTAAGTGCTGACTGATGATCTGACCATATGTTACTACAGTGTCATTCAAAGGGGAAGTATAAAGTGAAATGTGTGTGTGTACTGTGTTACATTGTAACAGCAGGGTCAAAGGTGTTAAATCTGACTTGCTGAATGAGCCTACCTGCCCCGTTTCTTTGACATGTTTCCATAAATTCACACAACCCTGTGAGAAACAAGACAAGTCATTTAAAGAGTGTAACAGGACCTGCTGAAATGTGATCATATAATCAGAATATTTCTGGCAAAGAGGAGCAAACTCAAGTTTGCAGCCCTCACCTCAATCAACCACATCCATGCGAACATGCATTACCGGATGTAAACAACATTCTTGCGACAAGCCCGCTGCTAGCGCTAACAATGCTAACACGACTACAGGTTACATATTTACAAAGCTAAGTTTTTATGGCTAATAAATGTGTAACTTCGCCGAGGCTAGCTGAATAAACACCGCCGTTCGGAGTGCCGTCGGAAATGCCAAGCAACAGTGTGTCTAAAATTGGACCACGTAGGTGGTTAACGCCAGGAAATCCCCTCAGTCACCTTTCATTTTTTTTAAACGAGAAACATTTGTGAGATTTTGGCTTCTGCATTTCTGCACATAAGCTAGCTGAACAAAAGGAAATGCATCGCCATGTAAGCGCTGATTTCGCACCCTATCTGCAGCTTCTGGATTACCGGAAAAAATAAGGGCTGAACATGAAAAAATAGCTTATATTACATCTGTGGTCGACTAGTTCACTAGGCGGGAGCCAGCAAAATAAGCTGTTTGCCCTACCTGATCAATAATTTCACGTGTTTGTCTTTGCAGAGCAGATTCCACCTAAAGCAAGACACACGGAAACGAGACGGATTTGCTGACTACAACTACCAAGAGGAACGCGTAGCGCGCAAAGGACTGTGGGTTTCGTAGTAAACTGTAAAATTTTCCTTTTGATTTTATCCAACCACGAATAGGGCTTTGGAGCGTGATGACTTTAAAAACATGCAAGGTTTCCATATTTTTTATGGAAGCCCGTTTCCGCCACTAAAAAAGTATCCATAACTAGAAATTCCGAGTCATATTTGTGGAAATGTCAACTTATTAACTCAAAATTTTTAAAAAAGTAGCTCAACATTTTGACTTTTTAACTCGGAATTTTGAGAAAAGAAACTCGAAATTTCGAGTTAGCACTGCCAATTAGTAATCTACATGAATTGCGTCATTTCCTTGTTACCCGGAAGCCTCAGCTACAAATGCTAAGCTACCAGTATTACAGCCAGTCATGAATGTACAAATTGCTGAGTATTTTCAGCGTGGCTTCACAAATGATGAAATCCTTTTGTTATTAGCTGAATCACATGGCGTTACCACCAGCAAAGGTACTCTCAAAAGCGCCAATTTGTTGCTATACATTGGTAGCTCGCCATCCGGTTTTGAGTGCGCGTTCCTCTGACTCATATCCTTCCGGGTAACAACAAAATTACGTCATTCACGTAGATTACTGATTGACAGAGCTAACTCAAAATTTTGAGTTACTGTTCGAGTTAATAGGTCGAAATGTCGAGAAAATAAGTCGAAATTTCGAGTTATGGATACTTTTTTTGTTTTTGTTTTTTACTAAATCTGGTACTCTTTTCCACACGGCTTCCATAAAGTAGGATGTATGACCCAAAAAACTGAATTTAAGAACTGAAATTGAATGGTGCCAAGTGAAACTGAAAGCTTTCAAGAGCTAAATTTAAAGAAGGATGGAATACAATTTCAAATTCAATTAATTCATTTTCAAAATATAAAATTCAGTTTCAATTTAGTGACAATCCTTTTCAAACCAATACATTGGATTTTAAATTAGGCTAATTCAAATTCAGTTTTAGAAGCTTTTATTTAAGTTGAGCAATTCAGATTTGAATTTAACTTATTCAACTTCAGTTTCTGATGGCACAAAGGCATAGTTTTACATTCCTGTTCTGAGACACACATCTGAGTATGTCGGGTATTTTAGTGGATAAAATTAATTAAATTATTATGTATAATAGATGTAATTTTTTCATTTTTAGTTTATATTTTACCATAACAGTATTTATTTGATATTTATTGCTTTAATAATTCAACTGTTGGTAATTGATCAAAAGATATTTGTAACATTTGAGAGAAATTTCAAGCCATGTCCAAGAATTTGAAACAATCTAAAACACGTTAACTTTTAACCAAAAGAGCTGCAGTTTTTATTTGTGAATGTAGTAAGTGCTACACAAAAGGCATGATTGGTCGTTTTTGTAGGTGAAGTGTTTAATTCCACCACAAGATGTCAGACTAAACATAAACTCTCTGCCACCGTGTCTGGGCTTTTAACAGACTTCAGCGATGGACTCGTTGCTCTGCAGAGTGAACGATAGAGTACCTCTCTCTCTCTCACGCGCTGTGTGTGTGTGTGTGTGAAAGCTCTTGGTTTTATCTTGTGCCAAACCACCTGTATGCACATGACTCATATGTGATCAGAAGGTGAATAAAAACAGTGCACAAACTAATGACCATTTATTATTCACAAAATGTAATACACGCTAAGGTTGTCATACTTATATTAAATTACAGAAAAACAAACATAGCAGGGGAGAGCCAATCACATGGCAGATACAAAGGATTAAACAGCCATAACTGCCATAACTGTTATTGTGGACAGAAAATGAGTACATATATGTAACATTGTTCTGTTTGTGTGTAGGCGGAGTACTCACCGCTGCTTATTCCGGGATTATTTTAGCTTTCTTTTAAAGTATTGTTTGTCTCTATCTATTTAATAGTATTTCACATGGTTGTTCTGTCCTCTTTGTTTCTACAGTTCCTGTGAATGGCTGCCTCCGGTCAGTATGCTGGGAGTTCACTCGTTGTTTACGGTAAAATCTGCTTGTATGTATATTTAGTGTATGTCTAGTGGTGGTTGGCTGTCTCCCAGTAGCTGATGTATGACTGTCTTCTTATCCTTCTTCGTTCTTATATCATTTCATTACAATTCTTAATAATTAGCCAGATGTGGCACCTAACCAAATACGAACTGTTTTGGCATCTTAATTGAAGCGTCTGCATCCTTTTACTAAAACTAAAACTAAAGTTTTATTCTTTAGTTTGATCAAATTTCTCACACAGGCTACCTGATGCTTTGCTTCAAATGTGAGTGACATTGCTTTCAGCTGACTGCTATCAAAGTGTTTTTGTGGTTATATACCTGTTCTAGACCTTTAAAATCTCAAACAGAAAGAAATTCAAATGCACACATCAATGATATAATTAACAGCTCTAGCAACATTTCTTTATTTTTCCTGCATGACAAATGAAACCAAATTTAACCTGAATTGAACTGAATCTAACTTAGAGTGAGATTTCCCCCCAACAGGACACAGAAGTAACCAACCAACTGGGAATGTTAAAAAAAAAAAAAGAGGATTTGTAATGCTCACCTGTTACTGGCACTGTCAAAGCTAATGATCCTAATATTGGCGGGGTAATCTGAGTGGTTAAATGAAATCACTGATCACTGCTTCTGCTTCTTAAAGAAATGGATAAACATATGTTTGACTTCATCTGCACTCCTTGAACTTGCACTATGTGGACAAAAGCACCAGCCCACCTCCACATTACCCCTACAGGCCTGCTCTGCTGTGGAAACCCATGCCATGAAGCTCTTGGTGCACACTTTTTGTGCTGATGTTAATACCAGAGGAGGTTTGTAACTCTGCAGTAACCAAATCAGCAGAGCATTGGAGACTTTTCCACACCTTGCTTCTCAGCACTCTCTAAATACGTGCTCTGCTACTGCCTGGCTGAGTTGTTGTAGCTCCTAAACACTTAATAATGCCATTTACAGCTGATCGTGGTGTAACTAGGAGGAAAGAAATTTTGCAAACTAAATTGTTGCAACATCCTGCATCTTAATACAGCAGCATGCACAAATTCAGTGAGAATGACCCCTTCTTTCACAAATGTTTGCAAAGGCAGACCACATGGCTAGGTGCTTCATTTTATAAATCTGTGGGACTGGAAGCATCTGAATTTAAAGATTATGAGGTGTGGTCCAGTACTTTTGTCTATTCAGTCACCCACTGGGATGCAAACTCCACAGTGGTTTTTTAAAAACCATAAGCTCTCAACTGGATTTGCTGATTTGATGGAAGTCATTATCTATCCTCCATTAGCAGCTATTGTGGTGATCTGAGTGAGCTCCTTAATCTAATTATGAAATTCCTGTTCTAGATTAAAACACTCTGACCGCATATATTCCAGATCATTTCACCGCAGACAAGAACACTCTGCAGTCTGAGTCAGAAACGGTGAACCATAAAGCTGACAGCATTTGTGAGAAAGCCAGTGTTGTATAGACACAAAAGCTGTCCAGCATCCAAGGATGCCTCCTCTGGTCCTTGCTGTTGTCACAGCAACAGAAAATGCCCGCATGTTGGAGAAGTGGTCCGGCTTCTTTTTCAACAAGGCCTTCAGTTCATCAGTGCAACGCACACAGTTTTCTGGGCAAAATTAAGTTTGGAGTGAGTGTAAATTATTTCCAAAACCAGTTTCAGTATCTCTTCCACGTGATTTTGTTGATCTCTGCTGAAAGTTGTGTGATTACAAAGCTCCAAAATACGAATCCCCATGTTTACTTGTCTGACTGACTGACACGTTCTGCTCCTTGGAGGTTTCACCAGCGCTGCCGTCACAGGAGGGGAGCCCACAGCGGCTCTCTCCCCTGGGACACCATGAGAATACAGACTCCAAAAATAGAGGTATCCTCCTCTCCTTCCAACTTTTCAGCTCTTCTGTGTGCTCCTTTATTGGACTGAGGAGACACTCACAGATCAAGCACGCTCTCCTGAGCAGAAATTATCTGCATCCTGCTGAGAAATACTTTGGATGGTTTTTGTCAAGTCTTGCAGGGAGATTGCATAGTGTAGTTACAAAGTCAGCTCAAGGTTAGTGTGTGTGTGTGCATTGATTAGATATCACTATTATTAGCACCATCTCTATGCAACCTGAGCTAAGACAGAGCTAAAGGTATATCATGGCTGTGTCATGCATGTCTGAAATTAAACCTGTGTGTGTGTGTGTGTGTGTGTGTGAGAGAGAGAGAGAGAGAGAGAGAGAGAGAAAGAGAGAGAGAGCAGAGTATTGGGCTAAAGGAGACGTGCTGCTGATCAGCAGCTTTAATTAGATGGGCTCTCTTCCTATCTGGATCACAGTTTGCCTTTTTCTCTGAGGATAAAATTGCAAATATGCTTGGTACAACCCTGTGAGACATATCAAGACCAAACATGATGATACAGTGTCTCGAGTATTATGAACTGGATTTCAAAGGGTTTTGAGAGACTGTAAGGTCACAAGATACAGAACTACACATGGGTGTGTTTATACAGCAGGCTGCTGACTGTTCCTGTGCTTTCTTTCATGTTAAGATGAAAGCTAATTCCCCTTCAGAGAGACAGTTTCACAGGTCTGATAGAGTTTTCAAACAGCGTCTTTGGTCACATTTATCTAAGGAGAAATTTCATTCATATAGAACTGTGGAAAGAGTTTTTTTTTCAGCAGGTTCACTGCAGGCCACACCTGTCTTTAGCTTTGAGTGGCTCAGTTTTAACAAATAGTTTAGTAAATTCAAATATCAAAAGTCGAAGTTTGAACTTTTCTAGTGAGAGAAAAATTACCTTTTAAATCCATGTGTATAATTTAATCTGTTGATATAGGAGATGATCAAGAGCTGCGTCATCAAGTTGGCAGTTAGAATCTCATGTATCTCTGCAAGCCTAAAAGGATTTAGTGAGTGCTGTACATACTAAAGATTTGTCTTTCCATCCTGCGTGACCCTTTTTTTTTACAACCTGCTGATTTTTCTGGTCTGACACTCTGACACTTTCGCTTTACTGCATTTCCTGTAATCCAGACAGAAATATGAAAAATGCTTCCCCACCGGACATTCGAACCCTGTGTTTATTTTCCATTTTTAGAAAGCTAAAACGATTGAATGCTGAAACTGATGAAAATTATAGATTTTTTTTTAAAGAACGTGTTCTCTGACTTTTATCACGGTATCACGATTCATAAATACATCCAAACTCCAATATAAAAGAAAGGAGCACACATCTGCTTTTTCTCCAACAAACTTATTTAACTGTTGTTCAGGTCTGTGGGACCCATTTTCAATAAAATTGTGTAATTAATTATTTTTATTGGCCTTGGCTAACTTTGCCTGTCTTTTCCCACACTCCCACATATTTCAGCTTCTGTCTCACAGAAAGAATTCTATATTTTTTCACACTCTCAAATTGCAGAGAAATATGGCTCTCAAAAATGATCAGACTGAATTATCCTGTTGCCAAAGAATGATCGTTGCGTTGTAACCATGTCCAACACAAATGGTGGTTACTCCTGTGAAG